TTTCAACAGGGTGCCATGCGATTTTCAGATTTTCAACAGGGTGCCATGTGATTTTCAGATTTTCAACAAGGTGGCATGTGATTTTCAGATTTTCAGCATGGTGGTATGTGATTTTCAGATTCTCAACAGGGTGATGATTTTCAGATGTTCAACAGGGTGACATACGATTTTCAGATTTTCAACAGGGTGACATTTGATTTTCAGATTTTTAACAGAGTGACATATGATTTTCAGATTTTCAATAGGGTGACATATGAGTTTCAGATTTTCAACAGGGTGACATATGATTTTCAGATTTTCAACAGGGTGACATACGATTTTCAGATTTTCAACAGGGTGACATGATGAAATTTTCAGATTTTGAAATTTCATCCCATGAATGATGTTTTATTTTCATGCTAACCTTCTATCTTGGAACTGTATCTACAGTGTAGGTCTGTGAAGATAATCCTGAATTCCAACCATATCAAAGATTTTAACTCATCTGTTTAGTTCTGTAGTTCTGTGCAGAGCATTTTGATACACTCCAGAAATAAACAACCAAAGGAAATATATACATGCATGTTCAGGCTTTTGTCCAAGTAACACCCCCCCCCCTCCCCCTGGGGTTCAATGCCCCTTCCCTAGGATTCAATACCCCTCCCTCATTCAACAGTGGGTCAGGATAAATACTTAGGCTTGAATATCAAGTTGATAATATCAGTGCAGGCAATATGTATTCTATGTTGAAAATTCCAGGACGCTTATCTTAACCACAAGCTTAGGGGGTCATGGTAAACTCTAGAAACTCAAATAAAGCTACATAAGTCCCAAAACAGTAATAACAGTTTCCAGTATTTCCCTGGAGACAGCAAAATCAAATTTGTGAAATATGTTCCGAAAAAAGTGTTTTTGAGGGATATGTGTTCACTAAAACAGGTTTTACTAAATGGTCTTTAAAGAATATATTTTTACTATCTGATTTCAACAGAAACTTTCTGATTTGCTGCTTTCTTCTTGTGTATACACATCCCTGGTTTATTTTGCAAGATAACAGGGATTATAAAGGCATAAACATTTGTGACTTATTCATTGATTTTAATAGCTAGCTAGAAGTAAAACTACAAATATGTTGGAAATCGTAAAATACCCAGAAACAGAATCCAAACTCGGATTTTCCAATCATATTATGAAAATTCATACTTAGGCAATTAAAGATGAATAATATTTGTTTTTCTACGAGAGAAATAGTTGAATAGGCGAAGAATAATTCTTGTGAAGCTCTCCCTTGTGACTATCTAGAAACAATTTCTAGTAAACATTCTTTATTCATTTCCACTATGAATCTATCATTTTCAATGTAAGATCTCCTGTTTGCAATCATAAATCCTCATATTTTCTCTCTCAAAAATATATACCTAAAACGATACGGCCGTTAAGAGCCATCCCATAGCTAATGAATTATATGACATCAGGGTCGTTAAGGGCAATGTTGCGAATATATATGACACCTGAGGCACTATGATGGGCAATGATTCAAATAAAGGAAGCAGCTTGAAATAAACTACAAGAATGGACAATACATAGAAGATGCAGACCCTACTTTCAATGTCTTAGAGGAAAAATGGGTACAGTCGACATGACAATGAAAATATAAGGAAAAATATATGTGAAAACAATCAATATTTTCATTCGCAGATTCCTCATGAAAACCTAATATAAGGCTTCAAAGAGGACGATTTAACTCAAAAAGCAAAGATTAATCTCTAGAACAACACATATGCCATCTATCTAACAGAAACTGAGACAAAAGCATCAATTAGTAGATGTTTCAGCAAAGATAGCTGTTAGTTTCTACAAAACTTCAGAAAATCAAATACATAATAATGCAACACATTTCAAAACATTATATTACAATATTACATGACATAAAATGCTGCATTTTGAAATTGGCAACACTTTCTATGCCACATCATATTACAAGTGTCACATGTTTACACAAATATAACCCAATTACTGAAGGAATAGCATTCAGCGACAGAAAATAATCCTTTGCTTCTTCGAGATAAGTTAACAAATACATCAATCACCGAATCTCAATTATGAGAAATTAGCACCGTTATTTTGTCTAGGGATGTCTCTCAAAATTATGAATGACGTTAAAATTCATACAGTTAAATACTGGCAATTTCATATAGAACTTATGATGGAAGAAAGTGCCTGTTATCTGTTTTACTTCCGCACTCCTCAAAAACCAACTCATTTGACATGAATCATTAGATGAAGTGGCTATTTGGCATAAAATATTGGCTAACTTTTATAAGTCACATGAAAGATAATTTATAGCGAAATCAACATATTTGCATGCTTATTTGCCATGAAATGTTTCGATGTAATTGGATTGAGCATTGGTAGTAGAAGAAGGAATATGAACCTGAAGGACCATGAACTGCATTAGATTGTAGGAGGGGGGGGGGGGTCAGTAGCCTCAAACAGAGGCATCTAGGTAATGAATATTTACCAAAGTCTTGTTCAGTATTTGTAGATATTTTGGTTCATTTAAGACTCAAGGGTGATCACGTCTCCATACGCCCCCCCCCTCCTCCCCCTAGATATACGACAACATCATTTATCACTGTCACTGATTCAGATGATCAACTGCTTAACTTAGAAAAATCAACCACACTCTACAACCAAACTTAACAACGTTTGGAAGCTTTATTGCAAGAGAAGAGTTTACAGTTACAAATCAATATCAAAATACTTACTCTGCACAAAAACGTTATTGCCCCTTTAACTAAGAAAAATCAGCCACACTTCACAACCAAACTTAACAACGTTTGGAGCCTTTATTGGATACAGTTACAAATCAATATCAAAATACCAACTCTGCACAAAAACGTTATTGCCCCTTTAACTAAGAAAAATCAGCCACACTTTACAACCAAACTTAACAACGTTTGGAGCCTTTATTAGAAGAGTTACAAATCAATATCAAAATACTTACTCTGCACAAAAACGTGCCATTGTTAGAAATTACTCCATACTATAGATGATATATAATGGTGATTTGTTATCAAATATAAGATACCATCGATCGCTGACATTATTTGAATCTCCAGATAATTGACTATGTCTCATATTTAACATGGATGAAATACGAATAGAAAGAATAAAATATTTTACTATTTTACCCAAGGCTACCTTAGTTTTATTTAGCTTACCGGTATGTGTTAAAAATCATATCAAATAACATCAGTTATCTATATATTTTAAGATCACCCACATAAAAATATAATATATTCCATGATTAGCTTTTCAACACATTCACAGTTATTGACAAGAATTATCATGTAAATTATTTTCACCATGTAAGCTTTTGTACCTGCCCCTAGCATAGCATAAACAAATCATTTCATTACATACCAACAACCAATCATTTCTGTTCTTCAGGCATCTTAGATAATACAGTTCCATCGAGGCAGGACTCGCCAAAATTATATTTTCTAGTAATTTTTAGACCCAAATGTGTGTATGTCCAATAGAAGTATGATATCCTTTAACTCGCCTATTTAAATACCACCAATACTTATAACTATTCATCCTCATTCCCTTATAATTACAGGGTGTCTTACTAATTATTTTGTATATAATACAAGATGTCCATAAACATTTTACACAGCCTTTATATTGTAATTAAAGAAACTAATGGACACCCTGTACATTTTCTTATTGATTCTAATCAATTGTAATTTAATCTTTATTGGAGGCCATGTCTTAAAAATAATGATAATGAAAATCAACTGTACGTCTTCAGGTTCACCTGTCTAATACTCTGGATTCAAATATTTTCAAGATATGGCCTCCTATTTATTCGTATCTGCATAAGCCTTGACCTATAATAAACGCAAGCATAATGGCATAGCTGTGTGATGTCATAACTCACGTCATCATCATCATCATTAAATGATGTCATAGCCGTGACATCCATCTCTAGACTTCCAATACTTGGCAAGGGCAAATCTTCATCCTATTTTGTATTCAATATTAAAACTATATTCTGATATAGACATTAATAACATATTCATACCCTGATATAGATATTCACAACATAACTCTTGCATCAACTCTATGGTTTCACATGCCTATTAACTTTTACATTACATATGAGACTGTCACACTGGAATAGCCTGACAATGGTAAAGTCAGATACCGTTGTCACAAATGGCGGACATAACCATCGCTTCAACTCTTTAATCACTTGGTCCTCATTCCATGGGATTTTATTGTCACTAATTCTATGCATGTATTAAGCTCTTGTGATGATGTATCATATGAAATCCCAATTTCGATCACATTTGGTCATGAACAGCGTCTTCGATATCATCAGTGACAACAGAATCTGAATTTGAAATAATTTACAAAGACAACAGCAATACGGCATACAGTATCCGTTGTCCCATATCTCGTTTTGATCGGTTAAATTAAAGACTTAATTTCCATGGTAGAACATTATTAACTGTACAATGAGTAAAAAGACACTTTGATTGATTGCTGTTGAAAAGGAATTTAGTCTAAGTGCTCTATAAAACATACAGTTCATGAAAATCTAATTGAAGCGACAATTATGTCCACCCTTTGTGACAACGGTATCTGACTTTACCGTTGTCAGGCTATTCTGGTGTGCTGTGCTGACAAAGATATAACAAGGGAAAGGGTACACAGAGAGCTGATTCAAGACAAAGGAAACATATTCATCATGAATAAAACAAGGCATTAACACATGCCATTTGTTACACATGCCGAACACCACTACCATCAAAAAAGTTGGAGACCACAACAATCTCTCAGCATTTTTGGTGGTGACATAATTAACAATTTTTCATTCACTCTTCAGTCAAAAAATGATACTGTATTTTTATTGATAGCAAAAAAGTAAGAATCCCATGATAATACTGTGATGACATGTGATTACACTGTAACATAATCTGAGATGTAGAGCTACTGTAAATGTCACCTACCTCTGAATTTTGATTTGTTCCAACTATAGGTGGCGTATTGTGCTCCCATTTTGATGCAATTTCTAATGTCTCAAGTGTTTTCTGTTGATTTGTCTTGGAGTCATCCAATAATGTCACCTCATAGAATTCTTGAATATCTGCAAGTAAAAATTGTCACATTCTTATTACAATTAAATCAAACATTGATCATAAATTTTATTTGAGACAATGAGAGTACATGTTATATAAATGTTTTGTGACCACCAGGAACATTTTCTTGATCTAAGCTATCAATATATTAAAATAGATCTTTGCTATCATTTTAATTTGGTAAACTTCGCATTTCTTAATAAATGAATGAATCTTTTATTTTTAAACTCGATCATTTTTATTCAATGACAATTTAAAATGAACGTTCATGTTAGAGCAGATACAGAAATTTTTGCAGAATTTGATTTTTTCGCACGAAATTTTGCGGAAATCAGGATTTCGCAGGGGAGATGTGAAATCTCTCAAAACCTTCGGCTTTTGTTCATGAAGATGACATCTAATATGTCATGAAATTTGAATTTCATGACAGTTCAGATGAAGCCATTGCTTGCAGAATATCACGGAATTCGGGGTTTAAAGCAGAATTTGGCGCAGAATTCGAGAAAAAATATAGTACATGTATTGACAGTTAACTGAATGTGGAATTTAGTCATCCCCCTTTAACACTGTTAACTGCCAAAACACTGTTTGGTCAACTGTTAAAATTATTGACCAACTCCTGACAAATTAGAATTGAGTATTTCTAATAAGATACTAACAATAAACATTTTTGCAACATACTATTTTTGTAAGATAACCGATACATATTTTTATGACGAATATACAACAAAAAGAAAATGCTGGCAAATACAGAGATGCCATCATGATAAACCATGACATCTCATTTCTTCTCAGCCCTGAGATGTTTCAGGTGAAACAGAAAGATGCTATGAATATCAGAATGCAGAGATGCACCAACAACAATTGAGTCCAGAACTAAGAAGTCCATTTCTTTCTTGCTATTCGATCTCATTCAATACAATATTTATACCAACTAACAGACTAAACTGATGATCTATACCATGTTGAATAAAACATCATCTTTGCATGTTACACCAAGTTACTTTCAATGATTTGGCCAATTTAGGGTCTTCATATAAATAGATTCTCAAAGCCGATCTGACGTTGGTCAATTTTAGAAATTGTTTCGCTAGAATGTTCTAATATAATCTATACTATAGTCACAGTGTTCGCGTTGACGCCGTTTTTTCTCGTTTTTACGGAAATTTCAAGAGGTCGGACAGAAAAATCAGAAATAACTTACGTCCTTGGGACGCAAAGATTCTACACCACCATCAGGTAACTTTTACTGCAGCGTAGAAGTGATAAAACATGATTTTCTGAAGAATTTTCAAATCGTCTACTTCCTTGATCTCGATAATGTTTATGTCGGCAAATCTGATTGGCTACTGAAGTGTCTCAGTATATTGGCGGGGTTTCTAGTCTGAAACGCAGCATTTGATTGGCTATGGTGCCCTCCGAGTCATTCCGGAGTATACCGAAGCTGGATAATCTGTTGTACGCAAACATTAGTTTCAAAATTGAGAATTGAGAATGGTTTTTCATGATAACCTTAATTACTTCCACTAGGAACCGTTAGATATCGATCTAATGTTATACATCAATATAATTATTTAATGATAGATCAACGTTTTTCATCTAAAAGTCGTCAGAGTAAGGAGAAATGTTATAAAAAGAAACAAAAAGTTCACGACCTTGACACGACCTTGAAGATCGCTGGTTGGTAAAATGTGAAAACAACTCTTTTGAATATTTCTTTCATTCATTTCGGAGAATTTTGGTATAGCATTAGTAAAGAATTGTGTGAAAAGGACCAAATGATAGATATTTATCGGGAGAATGCATAGAATTACAATACATGTCATTTTTATCCCGTTTTAGCGGAAGCACTCTATTATCGCCCACTTTACTTTCACTTTAATAACAAAATATGAGGGACGCAAAAAAAATTAGACGGGACTCACATTTTTCAAATGTGTTGCATCCCTGGGACTCAGAAATTTAAATGGCTAGCGCGAACACTGAGTCACCATGAAAGATTTTCACATTTCTGTGGAGCATAGAATCTTACTGGTATGTCAATGGAACTTGTCTCAACTGAGAGCAAAATCTTCATCATTATCTGACTCAAAATAGAAAAAATTGATGAAAATGCAATTTTTATGCTATAAATCAAAAAATTCGCCAAGCCAAAAACAGATATTAAAGAGCCTTGACACAATTTTCAAAAGAACCAAAATTACTAAATTGGCGTAATGGTAACTAGAACAGCTTAACGTAGAAGGAATACATCATTAAAAGCAATCTGAAAATTACGATTACATTTCACGGGTCAGTTTTTTCCAATATTGAATGTTAGCTAATGTCATTGCATTAAGTCTAGGGAGTAAGCCTATTTGATTTTATGGTTTGATGTCATTTTGGTGTCAAATCTTCAAAGACTACCCTGAAGTCACCAGATAGCCTCTGACTATAGGTAATGATTTCAGTTTGATGGCTCCTTCGCTAGGTTACTACTCAACCTTATGGGAGATGGAGAATGTGAGGCTTACTACAATGATGCTCATAGATTTTGGGCTTTTGATTTGACCTTCAATGACCTTTTCAAGGTCAATAAGGTCAAAAAGGTATTTTTCAACTTGTTTCAAATTGACTAAATTTTTATTTTAAATCTACACTCAGAAATATCATTTAAGGCCATTAATATTGTATCATCATCATAACACCTACAATAGTCAGAGAGGTAAATAAGTATGGCTAGCTGGATGTTTGTTCATGAAAATCATGAATAAAATATGTATATATAAAAAGTTCCCACCAAATCTTAACCTTTGCTCATAAACATTCTGAGTGAATACAGTTGAGTATAAAAAACTTTTATGACCTTAATTTTAAAATCATTTATTCATTCTATGACTTTATATAGCACAGCCCTTTATTCATACTTAGATGGGAAATGTTATTTTAAGCACTTTATTCAGAGATATCAAGTATTTTTATGCCTGTCTTAAAATAAAAGGAGAACTGTTTCATGAAAAAATTGCTTTTGTTATCATTTTGGAAAATAAAAAAATTGCATGATTTTTCATGATTTTTTGCATGATTTTTCACACTAAAACTAAAGGTTGTCATTAGAGACAATAAATCTATTGACCAGACATAAATTTGACTGTGACATTTTAATAGGACTTTGAAAAGGTTGTCTATTGAATCAGTTGTAGTAAGTTAATTTGGAGATGCTACAATTTAGAGGTGGTATCATCCTGAGAAATCATGGCCTTCTATTAGCTTCTTTCTAGAAGATCGTAAATTATAATCAACGAAATCAGAACACATCTCTAGTTGTAGTAGAAAGATGTGATGCGTATCAGAATGTGATGGTATATTTTCTACTGAATTTAAATTTAGACGCAAATTCCCGAAAACACGCAGAATGAAGTAATATTTCTCAACTTGAACATAGGAATAATTTTTAGCATTAAAATCTGCTACAATACATTGGGTAAGACTACAATATAAGCCAGTGGTTTAAACTTTATATGGGGCCTTTAAACATCAGTATCATAGGAAACTCTAAAGTGTATACACATGTCTAACCAGAACAACGGCAACGCCAAAGCGTAGCGAATCCCATCGAACAGAAATGGCTGGCATTTTTACAAACGAATAGCAAATATCATAAAACAACACACCAGAAAGGCCACCATTTTCAAAATGGTTGCTCACTAGCCGAGTTGTCATCAGAAGAAATATACATGTAATATGCTTTTAAGTAGCCACCTCTAAAATTTTTGAAAAATCGCACACGTACTTGTAAAATAACACACATAAAAATGGTGGCCATTTTTCAAAATGGCCAACAACTCCCCAAAGTTTTATTAGACAATGTGCCATGCTTAAAGTATTCACATATCAAATATGAACAAAATCGCTCCATTACTTTTCCAGTTATAGTAAAATACATTTTTCAAAATGGCCACCTTCTACCAAAAGTGTCATTAGAAATAGACAGTGTGCCATGCTTATAGTATTCACATACCAAATATGAACAAAATCGCTCCACTACTTTTCGAGTTATAGTAAAATAAGTTAAAATGGCGGCCATTTTTCAAAATGGCCACCTTCTACTAAAAGTGTCATAGGACAGTGTGCCATGCTTATAGTATTCACATACCAAATATGAACAAAATCGCTCCACTACTTTTCGAGTTATAGTAAAATAAGTTAAAATGGCGGCCATTTTTCAAAATGGCCACCTTCTACCCAAAGTGCCATAGGACAGTGTGCCATGCTTATAGTATTCACATACCAAATATGAACAAAATCGTTCCACTACTTTTCGAGTTATAGTAAAAATCGTAAAATGACGAGTAATGGCGGCCATTTTCAAGATGGCTGCCATGTGCTTCTTTAATATCTACATTTGTAGCATTATTAATGTCCTTTATAATTTTTTTACATTTAAAACATATTGCTATTACAGTTTTACATTTTGAAATAAGCGGCCATTTTGAAAATCGGCTTTCGAGCAGAACTTCTACCCCCATGGAGTATATGTGTACAAAATATGAACAAAATCGGGCCAACGGTATTTGAGTTATTGCCCGGACGGACGGACGGACAGACGGATAGACGGACGGACGGACAGACGGACGGACGTCTTGTAATATATAGATACGGACGGACGTACGTACGTACGTACGTACGTACGGACGGACGGAGGCGTTCCCTATATCCCTCCGAACTTCGTTGGATGGGATAAATATACAATTCACTCTCTAATGAATACTACAACATTCCAATTGATTAATGACAAAGGATACAATATGTATACTCCCCAGATATCAAGCAACATATGCTTTGAAATCTTAATTTTCTGAATTGCATTTTATTCATTTATTTGAAATCCAGAGAGAAAATGAGTAAAAAGAAACTTGACTAGATAAAAATTTTAAGACCTGGTAATTCCATACAAATCATTATTCATATATTCTGATGAAAATATGATATTGACATAGATAAATGTGAATAAATACAACATTGTAGT